AGAAAAGTGCGGCATATAAATCGAACCAATCAAACAATAAATAAATACAACATGCCAAACTAGGCTAAAATAGATTGGGCAGTTTGTGGATTCAGCACATTGTGATAACACAGAGGCATTATTTTAGCATGCTATGGGATCCAGGCCATCATGTTAACTACAGGCAGTCCTCAACCATAAACAAGCTACGACCAGTGGTGGGTTGCCCGTGGTTCGGACCGGTTCGCAAGAACCGGTAGTAAAACCAACGGGAGGCCCCGTCCACCACCCCGGATGTCGTTATCAGCAATCTGCGTATGCAGATTGCAAACCGGTGGTAAAGGTAAGTAGAACCCACCCCTGCCTACAACCCTTTGTTTAATGATCATTCAAAGTTATGACAGTGCTAAAAAAAAGTGACTTACTTACTGGTCCACCCACTTATGAGCAAAGTGTTCCTGCAGTCACATGATCAAAATGTGGCTGTTTGGGTTTTTAATATTATTTAATTTTTATATTATTTAATATTACACATCATAACGGCAGCAAGGTATACGCCCAACAATGGAAAAATGAAAAGTATACCTTGAGAAAGGGAGATAATAAAGAAAATGTTGGTTTGTGCAGACATGGATAAATTGATGTTAGAATTAAAAAATTCTACATTGGGTAGAATAATTATATATAATTAGTAATGTTTGAAGAGTATATATGATATTTGTTTTATATTTTAGTGTGTATGGCGGAGATGATGCCATGATGGTCGCGCTGTGTCCAATATTTTAATAAGAAATGACTAAATAAATATTTTTTTAAAAAAATGTGGCTGCTTGGCAACCAGTATGTATTTCTGATGGTTCCAGCATCTCAAGGGTTACACGATCAACAAGGTAAAGTCAGTAGGCAAAGTCACATTATTTGCTTAACAATTGTGGCAAACAAGGTCATATAAAATCAGGCATGGTCATATGATGACTCACTCACTTAGCAGTGGAAGTTCCAGTTCCAATTGTGGTCATAAATTGAGGATTACCTGCAAAGGGTTAGCACATTATCTGGACATACCAATTGCATGCTGTTGACTGGGGTTAAGTGTGCTGCCTGAACCTGGCCATTATGCAAATCTGCATGCATAAGAGCCAAAGAAGAAAAAGTTTTGCACCAGAGCTGGACTCAGTGAATTAACTGCAGTGGTGGATTGCCCCCGGTTCAGACCAGTTCGCAAGAACCAATAGTAAAACTGGCGGGAGGCCCCGCCCACTGCCCCAGATGTCGTCATTGGCAATCTATGCATGCACAGAAACAAGACACATGTGCGAGCGAAACAAGCGTGCGTGCGCGATCCCGTTGCAAACCAGTAGTAAAGGTAAGTAGAATCCACCCCTGATTAACTGTAATACTGCAATTTCACTTTAGAAACATTTTCATTGCTTTCCCAAGACATGAAGGACTAGCTGGTTCACTCTTTACCTTCCGCACATGTACAGAAGCTGCTTGGCATGCCAGCTGAATGTTACTTCTACACTAGTGGTGTGAGAGCAATCACAGCTCAATCTGAGGACACCAAACAAGTGAGGACGTCCAAACAAGCTGTTTTGGCCACGTTCAGCTCTTACAGGTTTTTCTTTTAATCCTGCATGTTAAATCAGTTAAAGTGCCCTGGTTTACACAGGCCAAATTACACACTTGCAATGCATACTAAGTCAATAATTATGGTTTGGCAACCACAGTGGCTGAATTTCTGTATTATGCTACATCAGACGAAATGATGGCTTGGTATGAAATGGGAAGCCAGTTTAATCTCCTGCAGAGGAAAATGTGAGGAAGGGGAGGGCTGTCTGATAGCCACATTCAAGTTGAGAAGGCCTTAAAGCAGGGGTCTCCAACCTTGGCAACTTTAAGTCTTGTGGACTTCATCTCCCAGAATTCCTCAGCCACTTTTGCTGGGAGTTGAAGTCCACAAGTCTTAAAATTGTTAAGGTTGGAGACCCCTGCCTTAAAGACAATCTCAGCATTTTGCACGAAGGCTCAACAAAAACTAGAAGTATGTACAACTGCAATAAGGCTCAGGTGATATAATAATCTATTAATAAAATCTGGATGTTAGCAAACTATTCATGAACAAAGCTTAGGTTTCCTTTAGTTAGAGGAATGTAAAATTGTGCAGTTTGGCACCAGACTAGAAAGTGGAAGACTGGGAATTCTATCTTATCCATGAAAGCTAGCTGGGTGACTTTGAGCCAATCACCAGGAGATGTGAGTTCTAGTCCTGCTTTAGGCATGAAAGCCAGCTGGGTGACTTGGGCCAGTCACACACCAACCCTAACCCAACTCACTCACAGGGTAGTTGTTGTGGGAACAATAGAAGGAGGAAGCTCCTATTTGGATAGGTTTATGTGTTATTTGTAAAAGTAATAAAGGTGGAATACAAACAGACAAAATAAACCAGACCAGAACAAAATCTGTTTGAGAAATACCCCTCTAGTCTAGTTGATTTCATAGTAAAGTGTCAATCACTATCCAGAGTTTGGGTCATTTTCATCAAGAAACCTTGATAAATCCATGTTTTCTAGGTCATACCAAATATAAAACTATATATTTTATGTTGTAAGCCACCAAAGGTACGAGATGGGCAGGAAATAAATTTCATAATAAATAAAATAAAATTGTAATAGAATCATGGATCACACTAAACCATCCTATAGTTTGTTTGGGTTACAGTAGGGATATGTCGTCACTTGACATATCGCAACTTCCCCCCCCCTTTGCTAAAACGGGGGTGGGCGTGGCCAGTGCATGACGCATCCGGTCCGCGGGCCGCAAGTTTGATACCCCTGGATTAGAGTATTGACTGGCAATAGCTTCCAAACTGTTAATAGGTATTAATGTTTTATAAGCTTTTGCTACAGACTGGCTGAAGTATTAAAATATGTTAGATGGCAGCAGTACATTTATTTTCATATTTTGAACTGATAAACAAATTCATGAGTTTTTCCTTCTTGTGGAATACTCCTGTAAATATCTCATTTCTTTGTACAGAAAAGGAATGAGTGAATTAACAAGGTGGAGGTAAACTGAGAATAACACTTTGTATGGTTGATATAAGGCTTAATTATGTAATATAATGCTTAATATGGTTAAAAGGTTAAGTCCAAAGCATAACAGCCAAGAACAATAAACCTCTATGCTAATATTCTGCATTAGGATACAAACGGGTGACTTACCAATATTGTGTTGAACAAATCTGAGTTGGCTCACATTTGCAAACCTTTCCCAAATCACCTGAATGAACCTATTATGTGTCATTTTAACAAACTCGTGGGAATTGCTCCCACCCATTGGTAATTTCCTGTTACTTCCCAATCATACTTCTGATTCCCCTACTACTCCTAAAAGAGACACAACTTTTCCAATATTAAAGCCATGTTTCTCAATAATCAACCATGACCTAATACTTTAGAAGAGTTATTACTTCTTTTGGATCACATTGTCTTTGTAAATCAAATAAGAAAAGAGAATATATTATTTGGACTCTTTTAATACAGGACTCTGTTGAATGGAAAGACAGGATTGTAGTAGCTGGCTTTTCGATTCAGGAAGTCTCTTGTAAATATGTATGGGTGGGGGTCTCCTTACGGTTCAAATCCAGTTACAGTCACTGGTTGAAAAAAAAAGTGGGTGGATACATACGGTATATTACCTAGTGTTGATAATCTGGCCTGGCCTGTAGCATTAACAAAGAGTTGTGTGCAGACAGCCTTCCATCGGATTAGCTTAGATTTTCAAATCAATAACATCCATTAATCAAACATGCAAATGAAACCCTTCTGAAGAAGAGGCAGCTCAGCCTTGTGAAAAAAAAAAGGCAACTGGGTGACTTCCAGATTTTTTTTTAACTATAAACACCCCCCCCCCACATTCCCTTGCTGCTGGATCCTGTTGCTGGTTGGGGCTTCTTGGGAGTTGAAGTCCAAAACAACATCTGGACAGGAAAGTGGGGGGAGGGGATTGCTGTTTATTTTTCCCTACCAAGACTGAACTGCCTGTCTCGGACCATTCCCCTTTTCACTATTTTTTGTGGGGGATCAGGCACTGTTCCCTGAATAGCTGACCTCCCAAATCCCAGCAAACTGTCGACAACAAGAGGTCCCCAAACTTGGCCGCTTTAAGACTTGTGGACTTCACCTCAAAGAGGAATCTGTGTCCTGTTAAGTTTTGCTTTAGTGCAGGGGTCCCCAAACTTGGCAGCTTTAAGACTTGATAGTACAGTGGTCTAAAGCACCCTGTTATTAACACCAGCTGCCTGCAATTACTGCACGTTCGAATCTCCCCAGGCTCAAGGTTGACTCAGCCTTCCATCCTTTCTAAGGTAGGTAAATTGAGGACCCAGTTGTGGGGGCAATAAGATGACTTTGTATAAATATATAAAAGGATGAAGGCTATTGCTTAGCGCATTGTAAGCCCCCCTGAATCTCCGGAGAAGGGCGGCATATAAATCAAATTTAAAAAAAAAAAAAAGACTTGTGGACTTCACCTCAAAGAGGAATCTGTGTCCTGTTAATTTTGTTTTAGTGCAGGAGTCCCCAAACTTGGCAGCTTTAAGACTTGTGGACTTCAACTCCCAGAATTCTCCAGCCAAAAGACTTGTGGACTTCACCTCAAAGAGGAATCTGTGTCCTGTTAAGTTTTGTTTTAGTGCAGGAGTCCCCAAACTTGGGCAGCTTTAAGACTTGTGGACTTCAACTCCCAGAATTCTCCAGCCAGCATAGCTGGCTGGAGAATTCTGGGAGTTGAAGTCCACAAGTCTTAAAGCTGCCAAGTTTGAAGACCTCTGGTCTACAGGTAAGAATGCAACCTGTCCTATTCATTGGATAGAAAGCCTGCCGCGGAATCAATCAGACCTTAGGAGTCTCCACCTCGAATTTTAGGAATTTTTTTGGGGGGGGGGGCGAGGGATGAAAGCCGTTCCCGAGTTTTTTCTTACACAAGGCAAGACAAAAAAAAAAACACGAGAGATTTACCTGTTCCTCAGCGCCGGCAGCCCTCGGCGGTGCAAATGTCAAACTTTCGCTGCCGGCCCAGCCCTTCGGAGTTTGCTGGCCTGGCCTCCCGATCTCCTGCCCAGAAGGGATCTTCGGGGTGGGTGAAGGGGAAAAAAAAAAAAAAAAGACGGGCAGCGACGAAAGAGTCCCCAAAACTTGAGCCGGGGGTGGGAATGCTGCAACAGGCGGAGGAAGGGAGCGAAGCATCCAAGGGGGAAGTGTCACCTCTCCCCCCCAAGTGTCGCTACCTGGGCCAGGCCTGCCTCGACTTCCTGGCGGAAGGCCTCCAGCCGCTCCGGAGCCCCTGGGGAGGGGGGGGGGAGGTCGGGCAGCTTACCTTTCCCCAACACCGAGGGTCGCCTTTCTCTCTTTCCCCTCCCCGCCCCTCCTGGGAAAGCGTTGCCCCCCCCAGCCCCGCCTTGGCGTTTACCTGCCCAGCCAGGTGAGCTGCGTCTGGGGCCCCTCCCTCACCTGGGATCACGTGACGCGCGATCCGCCTGAAAGGACACGCTTCTCCGGAAGGCAGGCGAGCCCTTTCGGGGATGGGATCGGGGCGGGGGTGTTGGGGAAGCGACGCCGCCGCCGACGGCCATCGCGGCCGCTCGGTTCCGCTCCTTGCCCTCGGGGCCAGGTGACTTTCTCTGGCTCGCAGGGGAGCAGCGAGAAAGGGCAGCATATATCATGCAGTTAACTAGGGAGAGGTTCCGGGAGGAACTCTGTGCATGCTCGACGGCACGGGGAAAATCTTCTCTGGTGCGTTGTCTCTCCGGTTCGGAATACTGGCGAAGGACCCCCCTCCCCCCCGACTCACCGACAAGAGCCTTGGGAACAGCGCTTGGGGGAATTCCGAAGCTGGAGGACATGCAATCAAACAAATAAAAAAAAAAATACTTTTATGGAAAAGTTTCCAAAGCAGCCTTCCAACGTCTCGAGCCCTCCAGCATATTTTAGTAGCCAGCAGGGCAAGTGATTCCAAGGGCAGCAGTAGGTGGGTAGGAAGGAAGGAAGGAAGGAAGGATAGGTAGATAGGTAGGTAGATTGGATAGGTAGGTAGGTAGGTAGATTGGATAGATAGACAGACAGACTGACAGACAGGGAGGGAGGGAGATGGATAGGTAGGTAGGTAGGTAGGTAGGAAGGAAGGAAGGAAGGAAGGAAGGAAGGAAGGAAGGAAGGATAGGTAGGTAGATTGGACAGACAGAGGGAGGGAAATGGATAAGTAGGTAGGTAGGTAGGTAGGTAGGTAGGAAGGAAGGAAGGAAGGAAGGAAGGAAAGAAGGAAGGATAGGTAGGTAGGTAGATTGGATAGATAGACAGACAGACTGACAGGGAGGGAGGGAGGGAGATGGATAGGTAGGTAGGAAGGAAGGAAGGAAGGATAGGTAGGTAGGTAGATTGGATAGACAGACAGGGAGGGAGGGAAATAGATAAGATAGATAGATAGATAGATAGATAGATAGATGATAGATAGATAGATAGATGATAGATAGATAGATAGATAATGTGCCATCAAGTTGTTCTCAACCCTTAGAACCACCTAGATAAAAGTCTGTAGAGATTCTCAGTCATCCAGGTCATGATCGTCCCAATGGTGCTTTTTCAGGAGGCAACTGGATTTTCTTGTTTTTTTTTCTTTTGAAGACGTTTCACTTCTCATCCAAGAAGCTTCTTCAGCTCTGACAAGACAGTGCGGAATGGAAGGATTTATATTCCTGGCAGACAAGCTGGTCATTTGCCTCCTTTTAGAGGGTCCTTGAAGCACTTGGAGGTTTATCTGTGTCCTCAGGATCACCTGAGTGGTGCTCCTGGTTCCTGTAGTCTGCAATTTTTCTCTCTGGAAATCCCTTCCTACTCCCACACCATTCAAAGGGTGTTCATCCCAAATTGTATAGCTAAAAGTCTGCAGAGATTCTCAGTCATCCAGGTCATGGTTGTCCCAAAGGTGCTTTTTCAGGAGGCAACTGGACTTTCTTGTTTTTTCTTCTTTTTGAAAACGTTTCAAGGTGACCTGGAGGACACAGATAAACCTCCAAGTGTTTCAACGACCCTCTAAAACAGGGGTGTCAAACTTGCGGCCCGCGGGCCAGATGTGTCGCGCGCTGGCCACGCCCACACCCGGTTTAGCGAAGTGGGAAAAAAGTTGCGATACATCACGTGACGACGCTGTGACGACACGAGTTTGACACCCCTGCTCTAAAAGGATGCAGCTGTCTGCAAGGAATATAAATCCTTCCATTCCCCACTATCCCGCCAGAACTGAAGAAGCTTCTTGGATGAGAAGCGAAATGTCTTCAAAAGAAAAAAAAAACAAGAAAGTCCAGTTGCCTCCTGAAAAAGCACCTTTGAGACAACCACTTAGATAGATTTTCTTCAAGTTAATCCCTGGTCTTTCAACCTTCCCAGCAATGCACTCATCACTAGTTTACATCGAGATTCTTAGTTATCTAGGTCATGGATGTCCCAAAAGTGCTTTTTCCAAAGGCAACTGGACTTTCTTTGTTTTTCCTTGAACATGTTTTGCTTCTCATCCAAGAAGCTTCTTCAGTTCTGAACTGAAGAAGCTTCTTGGATAGGAAGTGAAATGTCTTCAAGGAAAAACTAAGAAAGTCCACTTGCCTTTGGAAAAAGCACCTTTGGGACATCACCATGGTAACTGAGTCCACCCACTTTGCTGCTGGTGTCCTCTTTCCTTCTACCTTAACACCCCCTGGCCTCTTTTTTTCAAGAGCTGGATCTTCACGTTTGAAGTAGCATAATTTGACCCTGGTCATTTGTGCCTCAAGCAAGAACTCTGAGCTGTTTTGTTTGATGATTTATCATTTTGTTTTCTTGACTGTCCAGGATATTCTCAGGAGTCCTCACCCAACACCAGCATTCAATTCAGATAGATGTTGTACAGTAGCACAAACATTTGGAGGGTCCTCATCCACCTTTGTAGGATGGCAGGGTGGCCCAGCAGTTAAGATACTGGGCTTATCGGATGGAAAGTTGGCAGCCTAGGTTCGAGATCCGAGCACCATGTGATGGGGTGAACTCCCATTCTCGCCCCAGCTCCTGCAACCTAGAATAGCATAGAACCTTGTAAGGTCATCTAATCCAACCCCCTGTCCAAGCAGGAGACCCTACACACCAGGACTCTCCAAACCTGGCAACTCAAAGACTTGTGGACTTCAGCTCCCAGAATTCCTCAGCAGGAATGACTGGCTGAGAAATTCTGGGAGTTAAAAGTCCCCAAGTCTTCAAGTTGTCAAGTTTGGAAACCCCTGCCCTACACCATTTCTGACAGATGGCAGTCTAGTTTCTTCTTGAAAGCTTCCAGTGATGAAGCTCCCACAACTTCTGATCCATTGGTCAGAAAATGTTCCATTGGTTGATTGCTCTCACTGCCAGAAAATTTCTCCTTATTTCCAGGTTGAATCTCTCCTTGATCCATTTCCATCCATTATTCCTTGTCTGGCCTTCAGGTGCTTTGGAAAATAGCTTGAGCCCCTCCTCTCTGTGGCAACCCCTCAAATATTGGAACACTGCTATCATGTCTCCCCTGGTCCTTCTCTTCACTAGACTAGCCGTGCCCAGTTCCTGCAACCGTTCATCGTATGTTTTAGCCTCCAGTCCCCTAATCATCTTGGTTGCTCTTCTCTGCACTCTTTCTAGAGTCTTAACATCTTTTTTTGTAGTGTGGTGACCAAAATTGGATGCAGTATTCTAGGTGTGGTCTTACTAAAGCTTTATAGAGTGGTATGAATACCTCATGTGATCTTGATTGAATCCCTCTGTTAATGCAATTTAGGATTGCAAATGCAATTAGATAAGTACGTACCACTTTAGTGGGAAGGTAACAATGTTCTGTGACGTCATGCTGGCCAAATAACCACGGAAATGTCTTTGGACAGCGCTGGTTCAATGGTCTTGAAATGGGGATCAGCATCGCCCCTTATAGTCAGCAACAATTAATGGAATAAAATCCACCGGGACTATTTTTTTTAACCTGTATCATCCTCATTGGTGGGAATTATTGGGGTTATGACAATCCAACCGGAGAGATGAGAAAGAACGGTGATGATCAATGAGTGAATTGAAAGATCAATCTGAAAAGTGATATAATCAATTCATTGTTTCACAATGAATTCTCTTGCATGCCCCACCCTCTGTCTGGAAACCTCTTTCTATTTCTCTTCTAGGGATCTATGCCCCAAATTTCAGAACCACAGTTAAAAAGTCCGCTTTGTATTTAACATTCTAAACAAACACCTGAGACAAAACGATCATTTTGTAACCGGAGAAATGAGGCACATTTGTGAAATTGAATGATTAACGACTTCACATGTTGTATGAGCCTTTCCAATTGCGATTTAATCCACAAAACCTGATTAAACAATGAGACAAGCTATTGATAATTGAGTTCGATTTCCACCATTTAATCATGTGTGTTGGAACATGTTGTTGTTGTTAGTTGCTAAGTAGTGTCCAACCCATCGCGACTCCATGGACAATGTTCCTCCAGGCCTTCCTGTCCTCTAACATCCTCTGGAGTCCATTTAAGCTCACGCCAACTGCTTCAGTGACTCCATTCAGCCACCTCCTTCTCTGTCGTCCCCTTTTTCTTTTGCCCTCAATCTTTCCCAGCATTAGGCTTGTCTCCAGTGAGTCCTTCCTTCTCATTAGGTGGCCAAAGCATTTGAGTTTCCTCTTCAGGATCTGGCCTTCTAAAGAGCAGTCAGGGTTGATCTCCTCTAGGACTGACCGGTTGGATCGCCTTGCAGTCCAAGGGACTCGCAGGAGTCTTCTCCAGCACCAGAGTTCAAAGGCCTCAATTCTTTGGCAATCAGCCTTTCCTATGGTCCAACTTTCACAGCCATACATTGCAGCTGGGAAAATTATAGCCTTGACGATACACACTTTTGTTTTCTCTGCTTTTTGAACTAATTTCCCATAATTTCTTGGGAACAGTATTAGAGTGGGTTGGGATATTGAGAGCTCTAGTCCTACTACATTTGGAGAAAGCTAGCTCAAAAGGACAGAAAGGAGGAAGAAAAGAAGAAAGCAAGCACAAAACACGGCTAGACAATACAGGTAGTCCTTGATTTACAACCACAATTGAGCCCAAAATTAACATTGCTAAGCAAGACATTTGTTAAGTGAGTTTTGTCCCATTTCTTGCCGCTGTTGTTAAGTGAATCACTGCAGTTGATCAGTTAGTAACCCGGTTGTTAAGTAGCACTAGATATCTATAGGTAGTCCTCGACCTACAACAACAACAACAACAACAACAACAACAACAACTGGGATTGGAACTTGCACTGCTAAGCAGTGCAGTGATTAAGTGA